CTATTAAATACAAATATAAAAAATATAAAAGAAAAAAAAGAAAACAAATAATATATTTCAATTAAAAAAAAGTCAATAACTTGGCAACTTCGCAATCAAAATGCACAAATATAAAAAGTGTTTATAATATTTAGTAAAACGAATAAAAATGTAGATAAAATAATATACAGGAGGTTGTTAAAAAGACTAAAATTATGATATGTAGTTTGAAAACTGCACAATCTGTTCATTTTTAGTTAGCACCCTGTATTATAAAAACAATAAAAATTACATTAAACGATGAAGCATTATGTCAAATTTTACTTTTTTGTTGTTAATAATAAAAATACCACATGATTTTAAAACAAAGTATGAATTTTTAAAATTTTTACAAATAAAATGACAACGTTGCAACCAAATCAAAAACTAAAAAATATATTTTAGTGTCTAGGAAAACATAAAAATCTAAAAAAGAGTGTAAAATAATAAAAATAATAAAAAACAAAAGAAATTATGTATTTTTTAAATTTTGGAAAAATGGCAACGTTGTGACCAAATCAAAAAGTAGAAAATATATTTTATAGTATGTAGGAAGACAAATAACAATATAAAAAGTATAAAAGAAAATAAAAAATAAGACAAATAATGTATTTCCAAAGTTTTGTAAAAAAAATCAACTTGGGAACGTTGCAGTAAAAATCCAAAAATATAATATGTTTTTTTATAATTTAGTAAAATGAATAAGAATGTAAAGAAAGTAATATACAGGTTGTTAATAAAAAGACCCTGTATAGTAGCACCCTGTATAACAAAAACAATGAAAATTTGATCAAACGATGGAGTAAAGCCTTCTTTACTATCATGTCAAATTTTATTTTTCTATTGTTAATAATAAAAATACTAGTTGAAATTAAAACAAAGCATGTATTTTCAAAATTTTTACAAATAAAATGGCAACGTTGTAACCAAATCAAAAAATAGAAAATTTTATAGTTTGTAGGAAAACAAATAAGAATATAAAAAGTATAAAGAAAAATAAAAAATAAAAAACAAGACAAATAATGTATTTTCAAAATTTTGTAAAATAAAAATCAATAACTTGTCAACGTTGCAACCAAGATCCAAAAATATTATATGTTTTTATATAATTTAGTAAAACGATTGAAAATGAAAATGTAATACAGGTTGTTAATAAACAGACTAAAATTATGATAGTTTAAAAACTGCACAATTTAATTTTTAGTTACCACCCTGTATAATAATAAATAATAAAATGGCAACGTTGCAGCATTTGGTAAGACAAATAAGAAAATTAAAAAAATAATTAAATTAAAAATAAAAAGTAGAAAAAAAATGCAATTACCACACTGGTAGTCCGGGCAGCACTTTCCGGGCCGATGCACCGCCTTGCAGCCGGACTTTTTGGCACACCGGACCGTCTCGCAGTGGACTCCGGGCGGTTGGCATTTGCATTTGAGACAGGGCTGGTCCGCCGGAACCGCCTCACCGGAGGCGTAAACCACATCTCCGACGAAACAGACTTGGGTTTCGTCGATTCCGGGCCCGATTTCCGGGTACACTTCCCGCGTGTGCCGGATTAAGCCTGAAAAAAGTCCGGAGAGTGGCACAATAATTGGGCAACAATCGTCTATTGTTGTATCCAAGGTGTTAAGTTACAAAGTTTTGACTAATTAATATCGTGTTGTTATGCTTGATAAGAGAATTATGCATTCGGTTGCGTCAGAATATTCATCGTTTTATTATTATTGTGAGAGAAAGTGACGCTAATTATGTAATTCTGCAACCTCGAGCGAGATGATAACTTTTAAATGAAATGAAATAAACTGTGTGAAAGCGGTCGCGAAATAAAATTAACACAGTGGAGGATTTTTTCATTTTTTTACAACGAAATTAATTAAAATTTAAGTAACAAAAATAATTAAACGATGGACCAAAGCCCTTTTTACCCACATGTGAAATTTTACTTTTCTATTATTAAAAATCAAGGCGGTAAAAGAATTTCAAATCAAAACAAGAATTTTCAAAATTTTGAAAAAAATGGCAACAACTTGGCAACGTCGCACCCAAACTCCAAAAAAAAAAGATGTTTTTGTATAATTTAGAAGAACGAATAAGAATTTATGACTGTTTGTAAACTGTAAAATTTGTTCACTTTTAGTCAACACACTGTATAATAAAAATAATGAAAATTACATCAAACTATAGAGCAAAGTCCTTTTTACCATCGTGTTAAATTTCATTTTTCTATTATTAACAATAAAAATGCTAGAGGATTTTAAAACAAAGCATGTATTTTCAAAAACTTTACCAAAAAAATGGCAACGTTGCAATCAAATTTAAAAAGAGAAAATGGTTTTATAGTATTTAGGAAGATAAAAATATGCAAGTTGTCAATTAAAAAACGAAGTTAAACATTGCACAATTTGATCATTTTTATTTAACACCCTGTATAACAAAAAGAAGACACATTTTACATCAACCGGTACCAATCTGAAAAATTTTACTTTTCAATTATTAATAATAAAGATGATAGAAAAATGTAAAACAAATTATTTATTTTCAAAATTTTGTAAAAAAGTCAATAATTTGGCAACGGCGCAACCAAAATTTAAAAACTAAAATTAATTTTATAGTGTTCAGGACGACAAAAAATGTTGAAAAATGACACTTTGTTATTAAAAAAAATTGCTTAAAAATCGCACAAAATCATCACTTTTATTAGCACCCTGTACACAAAAAAACACATAGAAATAATGTCAAAACATAAAACAAAGTCTTTTTTACTACTTTATAGAATCTTACTTTCCTAATGTGAATAATAAAGATACTAGAAGAATTTAAAATAATAAAACATGTATTTTTAAAATTTGTTAAAAAATAGCAACACTGCAACCAAAATCCAAAACCTACCATTGACAAAAACAAATAAGAATGTAAAAAAAAAATTGTAGGATGTCACTGAAAAAAAAAGTAAGTTTTGATTGTTCAAAAATTGCACGGTTTAATCACTTTTATTTGACACCCTGTATAAAAATGAAATATATCAAACGATCTAAAAAAACCTTTTTTATCAACAAGTAGATTTTTTATTATTAGTAATAAAAACGCTAGAAAAATTTAAATCAATTCGTATATTTCCAAAATTTTGAAAAAAAATTGTTAATAACTTGGCAACGCCGCAACCGAAATAAAACATGATTTTACAGTTTTAAGAGGACAAAAATGTTGAAAAAATATACAAGTCATTAAAAAAAAAACAGTTGTTACGCTCAAAAATCGCTCAATTTAATCATTTTTAGTTAGCACCCTGTATATAAAAACACATAAAAAAAGAAGTTAAAAAATAAAACAAGGCCTTCTTTACTAATGTGTAAAATCTTACTTTCTATTGATAATGAAGATTGTCCTTGAAGAATTTAAAAAATTAAAAAAATGTGTTTTCACAATTTTACAAAAAAGGCAACATCGCAATCTAAAACTAAAACAAACCATTTAGGAAAACAAATAAGAATGTAAAAAAGTATAGAAACTGTAATTTAAAAAAAAATAAGTTTTGAGTGTTCAAAAATCGCACATATTAATCACTTTGATTTGACACCCTGTATAAAAATGAAATATATCAAACGATCGAACAAGACTTTTTTTATTAACAAGTAGAATTTGACTCCTTTTATTATTAGTAATAAAAGCGCTAGAAAAATTTAAATCAAATCGCGTATTTTCAAAATTAAAAAAAAAATTGTCATTAACTTGGCAACGCCGCAGTCGAATAATAACATGATTTTACAGTTTTAAGACGACAAAAAATGTTGAAAAAATACACAAATTATTAAAAAAAAAACAGTTGTTACGCTCAAAAATCGCTCAATTTAATCACTTTTAGTTAGCACTCTGTATAAAATACACATAAAAATTAAGTCAAAAAAATAAAACAAGGCCTCTTTACTAATGTGTAAAATCTTACTTTCTATTGATAATGAAGATTGTCTTAGAAGAATTAAAAAAATGTGTTTTCATAATTTTACAAAAAATGGCAAAATTTAGCAAACGACAGAAAAATTGTCAGGAATTTGGCAACGCTGCAACCGAAATAAAACATGATTTTACAGTCTTAAAACGACAAAAAAATCTTGAAAAAACATTCAAATTATTAAAGAAAAACAGTTATTACGCTTAAAATCGCCCAATTTAATCACTTTTATATGACACCCTGTATATAAAAAACACTTAAAAATTAGGTCAAAAAATAAAACAAAGCCTTGTTTACTAATATATAAAATTTTACTTTTCTATTGATAATAAGAATTGTTCCAGAAAAATTTTGAAAATGTGTTTTCATAATTTTACAAAAAATGGCAACACCGCAATCTAAAACTAAAACAAACTATTAAGGAAAGCAAATAAAAATGTGAAAAAGTATAGAAACTGTCATTTTTAAAAAAATCTAAGTTTTGAGTGTTCAAAAATCGCACATTTTCATCACTTTTGTTTGAGACCCTGTATAAAAGTAAAATACATATATCAAATGATTGAACAAGACCTTTTTTATTAACAAGTAGAATTTTTTTTTATTATTAATAATAAATGCGCTAGAAAAATTTAAGTCAAATCGTGTATTATCAAAATTTTGAAAAAAATTGTCAATAACTTGGCAACGCCGCAACCTAAATAAAACATGAATTTACACTTTTAAAACGACAAAAAATGTTCAAAAAATATACAATTGTTACGCTTAAAAATCGCTCAATTTAATCACTTATTTTAGTTAGCACCCTGTATATAAAAAACACTCGAAAATCAAGTCAAAAAACAAAACAAGGTCTTCTTATTAAATCTTACTTTTCCATTGATAATGAAAATTGACCTAAGAGATTTTAAAAAATGTGTTTTCATAAAATGGCAATCTAAAACTAAAACAAACTATTTAGGAAACCAAATAAGAATGTAAAAAAGTATGGAAACTGTAATTAAAAAAAACAAACTAGGTTTTGAGTGTCGCACATTTCAATCACTTTTATTTGACACCCTGTATAAAAATTAAATATATCAAACGATCGAACAAGACCTTTTTTATTAACAAGTAGAATTTGACTTTTTATTATTAATAATAAAAGCCCTAGAAAAATTTAAATGAAATCGCGTATTTACAAAATTTTGAAAAAAATTGTCAATAACTTGGCAACGCCGCAGTCGAAATATAACATGATTTTACAGTTTTAAGACGACAAAAATGTTGAAAAAATATACAAAAAATCGCTCTTTTAGTTAGCACTCTGTATAAAAAACACATAAAAATTAAGTCAAAAAATAAAACAAGGCCTCTTTACTAATGTGTAAAATCTTACTTTCTATTGATAATGAAGATTGTCCTAGAAGAATTTAAAAATTGTGTTTTCACTATTTTACAAAAAAAGGCAACACCGCAATCTAAAACTCAAACAAACTATTTAGGAAACCAAATAAGAATGTAAAAAAGTATGGAAACTGTAATTAAAAAAAACAAACTAGGTTTTGAGTGTTCAAAAATCGCACATTTCAATCACTTTTATTTGACACCCTGTATAAAAATTAAATATATCAAACGATCGAACAAGACCTTTTTTATTAACAAATAGAATTTGACTTTTTTATTATTAATAATAAAAGCCCTAGAAAAATTTAAATCAAATCGCGTATTTTCAAAATTTTGAAAAAAATTGTCAATAACTTGGCAACGCCGCAGTCGAAATAAAACATAATGTCACAGTTTTAAAACGACAAAAAATATACACTTGTTACGCTTAAAAAACAAAGTTCTCAAAATCACACAAATTTATCACTTTTAGTTAGCACCCTGTATATAAAAACACATAAAAATTAAGTCAAAAAATAAAACAAAGCCTTCTTTACTAATATATAAAATTATTGATAATGAAAATTGTCCTAGAAGAATGAAAGAAAATGTGTTTTCATAATTTTACAAAAAATGGCATAATTTAGCAAACGACAGAAAAATACTTTTTCTACCAACAAGTACAACTTTACTTTTTAATTAATTAATTATTTATAGGGATTTCAAATCAGTTGTTTAAAACAATAAAAGATGTTTGAAAATTGCACAATTTTTATTTATCACCCTGTATAACAAAAACAAATATTAACTACGTCAAACGATACAGCAAAGCCTCTCCTTTACCACTGCGTAAAAAGTCACTTTTTTTATTAACAATAAAGGCTCTAAAAGAATTAAATAGCGGTAAATAAAATAATTGTAGAAAAAATTTGTATGTACTACTTGCTGAAAAATGCTTTCTTTGTCCGCTTAAATCCCGTTTTAATCATGATTAAAATACTTTTTGTGAATGTTATTTTTGTTTGGAGACCCGGAATTCCGGTCTACCGGTCATCCGGAACTGATCGTTTTTAACTCATCACCGAATTCGCACCGAATCGATATTCGACCAAACACTCACCTGCTGTTGTATGACGCGAATGAAACACAAGAAGGATCACCCAGGACCAACTCCACGAATAAACCACCATTTTGGCTCCTGAAAAATGAATATTTCACCTCAAAATTCCGTTTTACGATGATTAAATTCGCGCAATGCTCACGAAGCAATAAAAGTGGCGATAAGTTGTCGATTTTTCCAACAACAATTCCCTTGAATTTCGTCCTCCGCAAATATCGAATTTTTCGCACGTCTCGGCCTAGAAAACGCGTGATTCGCCTCGAAAAACGCCATTTACGATGATTTTTCCGGTGTTGAAAAATCCCCGGAACACATCATCGCCCGGACTTGCTAATTGAGGAATACTCCGGTCGATGGAGTGACGCCGTGCCAGGCCGCTTTGATGTCACACCAAATTCGATTCCGGACCATAAATTACAAATCCAATTAAAACGCTTTGTTTCGCTATCATAAAACACTCATCGAGATTTCAATGAAATTTTTATTCGAAAATGATTTTTTTTCGCACACGGTTAAAAATAGGCGAGGGAGTCGCCATGGTTACCACTTTGTTGTCTATTGCCCCGGAAAAATCCGGGGAGCTTCCTTGTGGCGAGGTGGAAAATCCGGTCAAAATAAATAAGTGTGAAAATGCCCCTACCTCATTGCAATTTGGAACAAATACTACAGTAATTATAATAAAGTAAATGATTCACGAGGTCAAAAACCGAAACAACAAATTTCCATTCAAATAATTGTACTTATTTGAAAAGAGAATTAATTAGTATTTGTTTCAAATTGCTGGCATAATTCAAGGTTAAAATGTATACAGTTGCTAAACAACAATAGAATTTGACCTTGATTGTCCAGCAATTTGGAACAAATACTACATATTATAAAGCACTATGGTTCAAGAAACACAAACGTTGTAATCGGGAATAACAATTAATTAATATCTGTTTCAAATTGCTGGAAAATATTAAAAAGTAAACTGCAATTGCTAACCAACAATCATATAATATCGAGGGTTACCTTTAAAATTAATAAAAATTTTAGGAAATATTAAAATTAAAATTATTTTTGGATTGTTTGGAATTACTTCACTTTTTAGATAATTACATTGAATTTTTTAACGGAATTAATTTGCAATTACAAGAATTATTATAGAATTACAGAAATTAAGTTGGAATTAAGTTTGAATTATAGAAATTAATCTGTCAACATTGGAATTACGATGAATTATGAGAATTTTGGTGGATTTTTTTTTGAATTACTGGAATTATTTGTGAATTGCTAGAATTCTTTTAAAATTTTCTCATTTATTTTGAAAACCACGTTGCATTTAGGTCTATCGAAATTAATTTGGAGTTATAGGAATTTTTGTGGAATTACAAAAATTATGTTGGAATTATAGGAATTAATCTGAAAACATTGGAATTACGATGCATTATTGAAGTTTTGGTAGATTTTTTTGAATTTCTGAAATTATTCCTAAATTATCGAAATTAAATTAATTTTTAAATTACTAAATTAATTATTTGTGAATTAATAAATTTTTTTGAAATTACTGAAATTCTTTTTGAAATCATCTAATATTCTTAGAAATTACTTTAAATTTAGAATTATCAAAATTAATTTGGAGTTATGATCATTATTATGGAATTACGATGGATTATTGGAATTTCGGTGTTTTTTTTCAAATTTCTGAAATTGTTCGTGAATTAGCGGAATTATATCTAATTTACTGTAATTTTTCTGGAATTGCTGAAATTCTTTTTGAAATCATTAATTTTCTTGAAAACTATTTTAAATTTGGAATTATCAGAATTAATTTGGAGTTATAGGAATTTTTGTGGAATTACGAAAATTAAGTTGGAATTATAAGAACATTGGATCTATGATGGATTATTGGTATTTCGGTGGATTTTTTTTTTGAATTACTGAAATTATTTGTGAATTTTCGGAATTATTTTTGAATTACTGGAATTCTTCCTGAAATATTTTTTTTTAATTATGTTGAATTTAGAAAATTAAGTTAGAATTACAGGAATTAATCGGGAAACAATAGAATTACGATCGATTATTGAAATTTCGGTGGATTTTTTTGAATTCCTGAGATTATTCGTAAGTTAACGGAATTATTTGTGATTTAGTGAAATTTTTCTGGAATTATTCAAGGTAATTTCTTTTAAACATAAATTAATTTGCAATTACAGGAATTATTCTAAAATTACAGATAATAAGTTGGAATTAAGTTTGAATTATAGAAATTAATCTGACAACATTGGAATTATGAGAATTTCGGTGAATTTTTTTTAATTATTTGTGATTTCTTGAAATTGCTAGAATTCTTTTTTAAATTATCTAATTTATTTTGAAAATTACCTTGAATTTCTTAAAACAATCGGAATTATTTGTGAATTACTATAATTTTTCTGGAATTGCTAGATTTTTTTTTTAAATCATCTAATTTTTTTGGAAATTACGTTGAATTTGGAACTATGGAAATTAATTTGGAGTTATAAGAACTATTATGGAATTACGATAATAAGTTGGAATTAGAGAAATTAGTATGAAAATATTGGAATTACAATGGATTATTAGAATTCCGGTGTTTTTTTTCAAATTTCTGAAATTATTCGTGAATTACGGGAATTATATGTAATTAACTGTAATTTTGGAATTATAGAAATTATTGTGGAATTTAAAAATTAAGTTGGAATTAAAGGAATTAATCTGGAAACATTGGAATTACTATGGATTATTGGAATTTAGGTGTATTTTTTTTAATTACTGGAATTATTTGTGAATTACTGGAATTATTTTTGAAATCATTTAATTTTTTTTCGAAAATTCAACACATTCAGTAAATTAAGTTGAAATTACAGGAATTAATCGGAAAACAATAGAATTACGATGGATTATTAGAATACCGGAATTTCGGTAAAATATTTTGGAATTACTGGAATTTCAACGGCATTTTTATGAAATTGAATTTTTTTGAAATTAAAGGCATTTTTTTAGGAATTTGACCTTGAAAGTAGTAGCAATTCGGAACGAATATTACACTAATTCCAAAAATTTTAGATAAGTACAATAAAATAATTAAATTATTTTCTTTATAAGAACTGGTGAAAAAAATTGATTAAGAATTTTTAATCACGTCTGTCTTAATTAACTAATTAATTATGTACCAGGAACTAAAAATAAGTAAACAATAACAAATAAAGTATTAATTGAAAAAAAAAGAAATAATTAAGCGATTAATTAAAATCAGTGCTAAGCAACACACTAAATTGTCAAAATGACAATTTAGTTATCACTGATGTTACCTAGCAACTGAATTTTAAATAATTAATATACAGAGTGTTTTAATTAAAACTCGCTAAAAAAACGTTTTTTCTTCACCTAGTGCAATTTCGTCCAAGATCGGTGAAAAACAGTTCACATTTCACAAAATCACGAATTTTCTCCCCAGTTTGCGGTTTATAGCTGGCGCGTGTGGCACACTGACGGTCGCGAACTGCGAAACCCACACTGAGCAGAATCACAGAAAACGGTACCACGCATTGATAGCCCTCTCACTTCGACGCATTGTGACCCAGCCCCCAAGTCCCCAATTTATATAACGTGAAACACGGAAAAGAGCCACCGGTTGGGTAAGAGAGGAAATTATTTACTTAGAGCAAGTGCCGTTACTTTCACGGATGCGCCCCAAATGATGTAAGGATGCGTTCCGGGGCCCCCATAATAGTGATTAATTGCGGTGAAGAGAGAAAGTAATTGCGTTAATTGGCATTTGTTGCAAAATTGAGGTTAAATTTGGCGGTTTTTGACCTTTAAGGTCACTGAACTCGCTGCCAATGTGACAAAAACAAAATTACTTCATTAATTGTGTCTAACTTTGAGAGTTTAGTATTATTACCACGTTGGGGACTTATGAAGGTTTTATTAAACTTTGTTTAGAATAATAAATCTACAATGACATGACACATTTTGAATTTTTAATTTTCTCGCAGACAATTATGTTTAAAAGACGGAAAATCGACCTGGGGTCGTGTCTAGAGACTATTGAGACTTCTCAGCTTCGAAAGAGAGAAATCAGAGCTGAGAATTTGCATTTGGACTATTTTTCGCTACTCTCGAGCGACGTAGCGAGTGAGTTGATGCAACAATTGGAGGATACAGTTGAATATCTCACCGGTGACTTATCTAAAGTGAGATTTGGGGCGTCTGAAACCTGAAACTTGATAATGGGGGCTTTCAGGTGAAAGTTTTCGGGAAATGGCACCAAATTCCGCGACAACAAGCAGCATATGGGGACCAAGGGACGATTTACAAGTTTTCAGGCACTTCAGTCCCTTGTAAACCCTGGACTGAGACTCTGATTTCAGTTCGTGACCTCCTGAAACGTGTCACGGGGTTTAATTATAATTTTGTTCTTATAAACAGGTAAGAAAAAAAATAAAGAAAATAGCCCCCCAAGAAATTTTTTAGGTATCGGGACGGCAATGACCATATAGGGGAGCACAAAGACAACGAATCTGAGTTAGATAAGGGCACCCCAATAGCCTCCTTGTCTCTAGGCCAACAAAGACTGTTTGTTTTAAAACATCAAGACTGTCGAAAAAAAGAGAGAACCATAGCTCCAGGTACCCAAATACGAGATTTTGCACAACTTATTTATTTATTTTAGTCAAAATTCAACTCCAACACGGGAGTCTTCTCCTGATGAACCCCCCTACTAATAATTACTGGTACCACGCCCTGCCGCCGTGCAAAAGGGCACCAGGGGTGCGACTCAACCTGACTTTCAGGAAAATCAACCCGAAGAAGACGTAAATGGGGGTTTCCTACAATTATTTCAGCAAAAATGAAAAAAAAAGTTGTGTTTATGCAACCAGTTTAACAAAAGTGTGAAATAAATAATGTTTTAGTTTTGGGGCAGTAAATTGTTTTACAATACGGTTGTGAGTCAGAATTTTACTCCTGTAATAGCTACAGTGTTGTGACTGATGTAAATTAAGTTTTTTATTAAAAAAAATAAAAATATTGTAGTTATGCAATCAGTGTAACACTGTTGTGTATCAAGTTGTCGATATTAAATGTCAATAAATAATTTTTGAGGTTATGTTGTGTTTTGTTTGGGGCTGTATCTGTGTTAAAAACACATTTCTCTTCTTTATAATCTCAGAATTGTCAGTAAAAAACGTGTTTGTTTCGTAATATTGTTTATTAGACTTGGGTTTAATACAAAAAAGGTTGTATTTTTGTAACCTCAAAATGGTGAATAAACTGAATAAATCGTTCTATAATACGGTTTTGAGCCAGACTTTCACCCCCTGTGGCAACTACCTCGTCGTGGGTGACATCTACGGCACAATTTCCGTGTTCCAGTAAGTATGAGTCATTTTTGATAGCCCCCTAACCCGACTTTTTAGTCTCTCAAAACTGACAAATCAAGGAAGTTCAATCACTAAGGAGGACCAACTCCCCAAAAACACGTTCACGATCAAAGAAGACGTCCAAATAAACAGTTTATTGACCACGAAATCGTTCCTTGTAGTCGGGACAGTTGGGGAGATTTTGGGGTACGCGTGGAAGAACGTCAAGACAAGCAAAAAGCCCTCATGTTCGTGGTCAATCGAAATCCCCAATTCCAAAGACAGTTTCGACAAACCCGATGTTAATTGTTTGGTCCTCGAAAATGAGAATAATTTGCTTTTTGCGGCCTGTGGGGACAACAATGTCTACATTTTCAACATTGAGACACGAAAGGAAGTGAGGAGTTTACGGGGGCACAAAAATTACATCCATTGCATCAACTTTTTGTAAGTGATTACAGGAACCTGTAATTCAGTTGTGGCCATTTTGAATTTTTAGCAACAATAAATTGGTTTCGGGGGGCGAAGACGGGCTTGTGTTGTTGTGGGACGTGCGAGGTGGCCCCCCTGTTAGCAGAATTGAGCCCCACACGCGGGATAAGGTGGCACGGGGGGAGCTAGGGCCTTGGATTGGGGGTGTTGGGATTAATGACGATTGGCTGGTATTTCGTTGCTTTAGAGACAAATAGCCCCCTTAATGTGTTGTTTCAGTTGTGCGGCGGGGGCCCCCGACTGTCTTTATGGCATTTGCGCTCCTTAAATGTCTCCACAGTGTTCCCCATTGATGATAAAGGCATTCACGTGGCGGAGATCTACCAAGACAGGATTTTCGCAGGGGGGCGCTCGAGTTTGTTCTACCAGATGAGCTTCAATGGGGACATCATAACGGAGATCCCCACGTCCCCCGTGACTAGTTACAGCGCCGTCCACCAGGAGGAGCCCTTCCAGACTTTGTGTATCGCGGGGTCGAGCCCCAAAATCGACGTTTGTAGCAATTTCATTTACAAAAACTTGCAACTCTCTTTATATTAATTAATTTAATAAATAATTTTTTACAAATTTACAAAAAACCGTGACCGGCTATAACCGCCGGTATGAAGCCCTCAGCGCCCCCTTTGTTGCGCACCCAGAACCAGCCGGGCACGTGGCTGTGCAACAGCCCCACCACGTCGCCCTTCTGCACGTGGAGGGCGTCGGCTTCGGGGCCGAAGTAGTCGCTGGTGATGACTAGGAGCGTCTGGCGGCGGGGTTTGCCCCCACGTTTCGAGGAGGCCACAGCGCTGAGGTAGAGACGGTCGACGCTGCGTTCCTCGCAAGTGCTCGAGGGGCGGAGGCGCCGACTGGGGCAACGTATTGTCTCCACGCTGCATTCCGATTTTGAGCTCAGTTTTTCCGTGTCGGTCATGTTGCCGCAAGGTTTGGGGAACACGTCGGTGCTGTTCTCCCAACAGGGGGCGGGGGCGGCGTCCTCGGGGGGCGGAATGATCCCTGAGGGGAGATATTCAATCAAATGGGGTGTTTCCCGATTAGTAATATAAGTGTTACCAACGTTAACTGTCATCTAGTAAAAAACACTATTGTATTGAGACAACTTGACAAACTAAAATTTACCAGTTTTTTGTAATCCAATGTGTTAATCATTGTTTTTAACGACTTTAAAAAAAATTTTTCTTTATTCCAAATCACCTTTTAATCAAAGAAACCTGCTAGGTCATTTTTTTCAATTCATTGTTGCCAACTTATTTAACAAAAATCACATTTAATTTGGACATGGGACTCCTAAAATGTGTTTGGAAACATATCAAACTAAAATGTGGTCAGGGGGTGATTCAGCGGGTGTAAAAACCCCCAAAATTCCGAGTTTTACTCAAATCTGTCAAAATTTAACCCAATTTTCTGACAATTCAAATGTGACAGTTGCGTTCAAATTTTCAATAATTATGTGTTTTGAGATGTTTTATCGCAATTTTGAACTGGAAATTTAATTTGAGACAAGCCTTGAAGGGTTTTCGACCTCAAATTTAGGAAAAATTGAGTGTTTATGTTTTTTGTTTAAAAATTTGACTCGTTTTATCCAATTTGAGTGAAATTTTGTTGTCACGTTTTTACTACTTTAAGTTGGAATTGTGGCAAATGTGGACACTTTACGTGCACCGGAAGCCCCCTTTATAACCCCTCCAAGCTTTGTGATCAAAGTGGTCTGTGATTTCGATCAGAGTTGCCAACTCGGAAAAATCAAATTCACCAGATCCGAGCTGAAAAAGTTGTCAGATTTGCACATATTTTCAGAAAATTACAACATTTATATTTTTCTGTTACTGTCAAATGTTTACGTTTTCTACTTAAATCTTGCAAATCTTCTCAAAAACTTGGATAAAAAAGCAAAAATGACACATTTTTAGTCTAATTCTATAGTTTTTTTAACGAAAATTTACGAAATAGTTACGTCATTACCTGAAAAACATGCTAAAACACTTGAAAACTTGATTTTATGTTGTTTTTTTTGGTTTCTTTTAGCAAAATCTCGAAAAAAAACTGAGATTTTAGATCAATATGAACATTTGAAAAGGTCAAGTAACACCATTTTCGACCAAATTTTGTGTTTTTCGGTTTATTTTTTGGCAAAATCTTACTCAAAATGAGCTGAATCCAACAAAATAACGTCAATTTAGACTAATTTTTTGTAATTTGTAATCATATTTTGGCAAAATCTTGCAAAATAAATAAGTCTCTTGTTTGTGACGAAATTTTATAAAATAATTCTTTTTTTGACTGAAAAGCGTACAAAAAGTGCCCAAAAGGGCAAAATAATGAACTTTTCTACCTAATTTAGCCATTGTTTGACCATTTGAGTAAAATCACATTAAAAAACAAATAGAATTATTTTCTTAACTAATGAGGTGATTTTTCGACTTATTTTC